GATTGAAATATCTGAGGGGAAATATTCCAGAAAATCTTGAAAGGCGGATTTTTCGACAAAGATAGCTTTTGAAAATGAGAGAATTTTTGGTCAGTGGAGGAGGGTTAAAGGAGAAGCCATGAGAAAAGGCCCAAAACTCGAAAAATGGACTCCTCCTTGCCCGTTGATTTGCCTATTAATGCGACTCTCATCGGTATGCCCTCTTTAGTGCTAACGTTCTCTGACTATCTAACCAGTAGCTGCGTATAGACCTGCGGCAGTGGTTATTTAAGTCGTATGCGGTGTCCGAGCTAACGCGCAAAGAGAAGGGCATGGTAGACGGTGGGACCAGGGTCAACCGTCCGTTGGACAAAGTCCAACGCGACGACGAGAGTAATGCCGAGAGTGAACGTACGCACGGAGACACAGACGGCTCGCGGGTGGCGAGAGTGAATGCCGGCGCGGAGAGCGGTGAACATCGGTCCAACGTCGCTCCAATATCGGTCCAACGTAACGGTTGACCCTGGTCTGATATCTTCGATTGCGGTAGCGGTTGGCTACTCCTTAGGGGATCCGCCTGTCTCTCCGCTACTTATGCCTCGCCTTATCCACCTTCGTTCTTGCTGTGGAATCCTCATTTGAGTCATTTTCCAGAGGAAAAATTAATTACACTGGAAAACTGCGGCAAACACCTTCAACCGCAACTTTCAACACACATTGATGCATCGGAATATGAATTACAATAGAAACTAATCAAAATATTCTAATGGACTCTCACCAATAACCTCGCCTGTTTTCTGCAATCCGTGAACGGTGTGATCCTTGACCGAAGTTGCGACGCTTCCTGTATCGAGAGATTCAAAACATTGTGATGGGTTGTAAAAGGGGCAGGGAAAACACATTCTGGACTGAGCGTGTGAAGAATAAAAATGATGTAAATATCTTAAGGTATTAGTACGGCGGGAAAAAAGGTGCAAGATATGATAGACAGCTGATTTGAGGATAATCGCTGCGTAGGGACCTATAGTAGACGAGTAATCAATTGAGGGGTACTGTCGAAGTTGAAAGAATACGGGTAAAAAGGTTGGCTGCTCCAACATCCATAAAATTTTGGTCTTTTCTTATCCAGATAAGAAATGAATAATAAAGTTAAACAGCTTGAAAGTGGGAAATTGGACTTTACTGCATGGTGAAATAGAGATTCAAGGCGGAATTTAAGCAAACTAAGGTTCGTAGATGTAGCATCGAGCAGTGGAAGCGCTCGCAATGTCACGTCCTACTTTCATAATGGGACGGGTAACCTGGTGTGTCATCTCAGCGGCAAACCGTTTCAATCTAGGCCTTTAGTGTAACGATCGTTTCTTCTGTCGCAGGAGTTTTCTATGTAAGGGCGATAATGGCACAAACCAAGAAATTTCCTTTGAAAATTCTTCACGATCAGGATCAAATTTTCCATTCCTACGGAATAAAACTTGAACTAGTAGGCCTGGGAAGGCATTCAACTTCCCACGGAGCCTTGAATTAAGACCTTGATAGATTGAACTGCAAAACATACTTGCCAAATAAGTTGTGAGCAGTCAAAAATAGCGGATATTGAAGCGGAACATATAAACCGTGCTACCGTCCTGGCATTCAAAACCGCCGTAGAGCAGCGGTAGCGATCTCGAACTTTGCACAGGAAGAAAACGTATGATCTACCGGATGGAGAGCGGAGCATTACCGCTACTCCACGGCAGCTCTGAAAGGCCGAAATGTTCATATGTGAAGCTCTACTTACAGCCAACTTTGGCTGCTCGCGACTTCTTTGGCGAGCTCATTTTGCATTCTATTTCCATGTTTTGTAATCAGTTATAACTTCATAATAAAGGATAAAGGATAAAGCATTTGCCGTTGATCAATCCCTTTTTGGGATGCGGCACGCATTCTACTTCCATTTGTACATTCGCAGTGGCGTTTGAATGCGATGTGGCCTATACAATGACTTGCGGGGCCAGCCGATGTTCAAGTCAGTGTTTTTATCCTCCCAGACAAGTCTGGTACCAATTAACCGACCCCGGAGGGATGGAAGGCTTGGTTGGCCCGGGCGACTCACGACCCAGGATTTGATCCCGGACCGCTCGCGTGGTAAGCGCGCCACTTGTCACTACACCACTTCCGCCCAGTGTTGTATTATTACCATTCCATCATATTGGGAAGATAATTGATAACGTATACTGGCAATGTGGGTGATGAACCTACTATTTGCTTTGAGGAACACGCGCTATCTAGGAGGGCATCCTGACGGTTTTGCGTGCCCTCCTGCTCCATACCAGGTCGTTTGAATTCGCCATGGAGTGCAGAATTCGGACAACGTGTGGCGGATATGGCGTAATCGAGGGACAACGCGCATTGACGTAGAAGTTGCCGTCGATATTTATAGGGCGTAGTGGTGGCATGAATTTGGCAAAAAAAAAGAAGTTAGGCAAGAATGTAACTGCTCGTTTCGCTTTGACGCTATTTTCGTCTCCTATTGTCCCCTTACCTCCCGACGTGACGTATGAACGCTCTGACCGAATTCAAGGTATACGCATTACGCCTGAGTGATGGGATGGGGATTGCTGCTAAAGTTTTTCCTTTTTTGTTACAACTCGCTGGCCTCAAAGCCGCTAATTAGGTTAGTAGATACATTACGTTAGGATTTCAAGCGAAGGATTTGCTAATTCAACCATTTTTTTCTAAAATATCAAAAAAATCCAAATTCGATGCGCCATGCATTAAACACTCATAAGAAATCACATAAAGCGGTTCAACGCTTCTTTGGTTCTGTTCTATGAGTGAAGATGGAACTGCTAGATAAATCCTATAGCATTGTGTCGACCAACAGGATAAAACCTGCTTCGTAGTCGACATTGCTCGGAGACCATGGATTCGAATTCGTGCTATTAGGTATTCGGAAACCGCTCGGTGATGCTTCCAGCTAATTAATAATTAATATTATATATAAAAAAATGATAGAAATAATCATTACTACGCATTTGGTATGTAGTTTCTCTGTTTTTTCGAAACAAATATTTGATGTTATCCATCGGCCGCAATACTAAGAAAAATTATGTGCTAAATACTCACCGATGGCTCCCACAGCGCCTTCAGCGAGATTTTGTGCCGAGTCTGCTACTTTACCGCCGACCTGTTCTGAAATAGGCTCTCCTTCTTATTAAAGTGTTTTGCTTTCCTAACCACACATACAACCAAAACTCATATAATATTAATGGTGCAAAAGCATGCTGGACCACACACGCACGCTAGTAATGGGTTAAAATGCAAATGAAAGAAAGGTTGTAGAAAATTGAAATGGAAAAATTTTCACACGATTTACCAGTTCGACCGGCAGCCTGATGAACTGTTCTCTCACTTTGCTGGTGACCGTGGCTAATTAAATTAAATATTATCAGAGCTTGACAACGGTGACGTATATTCATTTTATTTCTGTTATTACAACTAATTTTTACTAATAACTACTAAACTACCCAGGAACTAGGACAATGCCCTAGACTATCCTCAGCTTAACCAGCGGATTTCAGTTGATAATTCTTGGAATATTATCGAGTTCTCTATTTGTTCAGAGCTTAGATGGCAAGATGGCCTTATTACAAGGACATTCCCGATGGGAGGTTTGTATGCGTTGCTTGTGAAAACAGTCTCCCCGAGTGTATGACGATGTCAGGGGGTAGGAGATCACACGCTTTTGAGTCAAGAGCACTCTTTTTATCAAAAATAATCCTCGACAAACTTTCCGGCGAAGACTTTTGACCGCCTGTACTAGCGCTAAAGGTTTTCCAACCACAGATAAAACAATATGTACGCGATGTTCACTGACTGTAAAATAAATTTACTATGTATTCACAATGAAATACTTATCATTTTATATTTGAAGGAGACGCCGGCAATACTGTGAAGGACGCGGCTTCAGATGCTGCTCAATGGACAGGTGAGATTACAAGTATTAAGGCAAAATGCAATGATCACCCACTCAGGGATTTGCTATCGCTTTTGTTCGGTACTGTTCGGTACGGCAAGAAAGTGATCGGAAACTGACGCCCAATAATTTTTCTTGCTAAAAGGGTACACTTGATGAAATCAATCTGAGATTCAAACATTCATTCCGAGATTCAGGCAACGTCAAACGAATAACAGGAATAGCTTATCAGACTTGTTGAAGGCTTTCTTGCCGATGTTCTCATTTTGTTGGGCCGCGAACATGTCTACGGGTAGACAAGCAGAGGCAGGCGATCTGAAAGACACTGTGCGTAGCTACCAGAGAACAAGATCGAAGGGAATAAAGAGGGCATTGGAGACTGGCGAGACGCAGGCCTCCCGCCGCTTTCACCGCTGCATCACAAGGCATGGACCAGCGACCGGCGGCGGTGGTCCAAGGTCTAGTGATGCAATTGTAAAGGCGGTGGGGCAAAGCCGCAGGGCCTTTTTTGCACAGATTTAGTCGGCAGAATGGCACATTTTTCTCCTATGTGGGATGCTCTTTTTTGCCATGGACGGATCAAATCGTGTGGCTTCATCGTGTGATGTGCATTCATAGTCTAGCATGTGGAAGTTGAATAGATGGCGCGACAAGCTGGACACCGATGATGGAGAATCAGTTGTCCTTTGGAGAAACCGGTGCTTCTCCGAAAGTGATACTAGCCACGTGCAAAGGGTGCGCTCCTGGCTGCCCAACAAGGCCTCACCTAGAGCTGTAAACTCCTTCGTAGCTGTCTACGCCCACCAGGCAGCTGGGTGATAACAGAAGCATGTTTGATGCGGGTAGCGTTGTCATCATAGATTTCTCTTCATTATGAAGGGACGTTCCATTTCAGGCGGCTTTTCCTTCAAGTGGCTTTAATGCGGTATCAATTAGAGCACGATGTTTGTGGCAAAGTACCGGCTATCGAAATAAACACCTGCAAATGAACTTGCATGGTCGCTGGCCAAAATGACCGAAATCTTAACTGCATACCGCATGGGAACTACGTGAACTACGTTGTAAACCAAAAAAACTTCCCCAAATGCTTCATCATTTATTGATAGCCTATGACACGGTGAGCTTGCAGCTCTACAACAGCTCTCCAACCAATACGGTAATTCCCAATCTCATTCGAGCCCTCAGAAACCGATATTTTCAAACGCCCACTGGGTCGGACTCCGCCCTCTACCGTACCCACTTATGCCTAAGGGCGATTTCCCACGCAACCGGGACCATTTATAACTATTTTCTTGGGTCTACGCCAATGCCTTCCTCACTACTTCACAACGATTCTTTTTTTCCGAGTTAAAGCAACAGTTCAGGGAGGGTCCGAAAATTTCAATGCCACTACTACTGAGGGATACACG